TATGTATGGCGCATTGATCATAGTAAAGTTAGTGCCGCATTTTCCTGCCTAGCCTCCAGATATACGTTCCAGTCTGATGACTACTCACAATGCGCATCGTAATGTCCATCTCATCTTTTCAGAAATACTGCATATATTGCGACTGTTTCTTATCACTCCTTTGCTTTCATCATCCATCACAATTAGACGAGAGACTATGATGGTAGACTGCCTGGGAAAGTTTAGTATCCTACCTTGACTGGTTCATTATTTTTAACATTTTATTAATTCACATATTGGGAAGTTTTAAAATATTCCAATACTTGTATTATTCGTTTTGAATAATATCATGGCGCTTTATTCGCTAGTAGAACCCACGAATTGTCGCAAGTTACAAATAATTTTCCCCTAATCGATTATTACAATCGAGGATGAAACGTAATAGTTATACTTGTTTTATTTCTTCTTTACTCTTTTATAGTCGTCGATAATTGTCGGCAGACTTTCGACAAGTAGAATAACAACATATTAATAGCATGAAGCCAAAAAAAAAGTGTCTTTTAGCTCCATACTTTTAGTGGCATGCTGTATGCCGCCCTCAACGATGGCATGCGTAAGGTTATCCTTGGAAACACATTGGCAGAAGCGCAGACATGCGGGACAACCCGAGTATACATGTATTAATAAAAGCCCAGAAAGGAGGCCATAGCGAGAACCAAACTGACTCTCATAACAAACAAAAATCACGAAGGCGTAGGGAAGGCATTTCAGTTTTTCCCAGCAGTTTATTTTTGTTCTATTATATAGTCCGTATCACGCATCAACTCGGACCAATATGAAAAACAAAATACCACAAATTACGTGGAAAAAAATAAAATATAAAATTAAACGTTGTAAAATACTCAGTACTGTGTCATTATATATGCTGGATTTAGAATCAGCAAATAAAATAATGGTTCTGTTCATATGATCAGCCATCCAATATTTCGACTCAAAGTAGAATAAAATTCAAACTGTGACCAAAAGATTCAATGTGTACTACTGACGTCTTTTAACTAATGTGGATCTAACCCACAGAATATATTAATCATCAAAATGACAAATAAAATGCGGTCGTTGACATTGAAATAGGGTATAGGCAGACCTTCTTTATTAGCGTATGAATACATGGTATAAATAAAGGTGCAGTGCGGTTTTTATTCATCACAATATGCTTTTTAAGTGAACCATCTTTACAAAACACTGGGGGGTATCGTTGCTGCACCCACGATGCTTTGACACAATAAACTGTTTTTATTTGTATTGTACGCGTATAAAATCACAAGTTTAACTATATATAAATCTCGTTTGATTGTACTTGTCATGTGGTACACCGAGACAGTATAGTATTGTAAGCAACTGGGATCGTTGTTAGGTAAATTGATTAGCGCCGCCTATAGTCGTGTCGTCATGGGAACGATGCTAATTTGAGGTAATTTTAACAAAGTCACGTTCACGCGTGGTTGGTTAATTGATGACTCAGTTGGTGTGGTAAAACATAGGTCGTGAATGGAAACCATTTTATAACAGGTTACTCGTGGAAATAGCTGGTACATGGTAGATATACGCTATCAGGATTCATTCCGATATTCCCCGGTCTACTCTGAGACTGCTTCGTGTCGAAGGCGATGAACAATAATGATTTATCAGGGCTCGGTTTGAGCTATTGACAGGATTGTAACCACAACATCGATCGTAAAGTGTTTACTGGAGATGTCACACTCTTCAAGGTTTTATTCGTGGCCATATGTAATCGACGTTCTCTTCAACATTATGTCACCGGGTCGTGATTGATTAAGATAGTGATTGATTTTAAGTATTTCAAGATTATATTATTACCTGTTTATAAAGGGCTTTTCTGCAAAAGAGAAATTAACAACGTATGCGCGTGAGATTTTAATAACACCAATAGTGATGATCACGGATAGTGATTTGCTGAACATGTACATGAAAGATGCGATCAGGAACAGTTCGCTCGCACAACACAGGTAAACTGGATATATCATGATATATATTTTTAAAGTCGTTAGAGAAATCCTAATTTGGAGCTTGAACGGAACATATGCTAACGGAAAAACAGTTTAGCCTCGGGTTCTTTTAGTAAATGTGCTGTTGTTTGTCACACTGCGTGATCGAGAGTTAGCTGTATGAAAAGATACGTTATTAACACCTGGTTAAGACCCCCTCCCGCAGTACCTCAAAAGGTGTTTTTTTTCTTTTCATGCTAGGAAGGTCATTGCTGGGATCTATCATAGTAATACTCTATATCGACACAATTAAATTTGCTTTTGGATCAATCTTTAAATGACACAAAAATGTTTGCCAGAGAAAAGAAAAAAACACAGTATCAGTAATTACTGATCGCTCATGCGTTACTATGGTGACAAAATAATTACAGGTCGAGATAAATGCAATGCTTCTCACTGTATTTGTGTGAGACTTTTCCAGCTTTTATAAAATGGTTTTACCAGATCCGACACCACATTAAATTGTTACATCGCTACTTTCTTCGACATCGGCCATGAAATGTATTAACAACAAAGCCTCCTATTCTAACAGCCCATTGATAGATGTTTTTTTAGAGTCATTAACACCAAAGTGACCCTGTATTGTAAACAATTGTTACCGTTACAAGAACGATAATAGAATTGTCTTCTAACAAAAAGCTGCTCGGGTCAAGGTGATCAGAGACAGTCTAAGCATTTTGAGCGATTCAAATACAACGGTTCTGATCCCAATACATTGTATGTACTGATACGCAGATCGTCGAAGTTATAACATTTCCATCGAACGTCGATCAAACACCCTAGTACGAATG